AGGCCCTGAGGCAGGGGTGGGTTAGGTGTGTTGGAGGCTCCCGTAGGGCCAGGGTGGCTGGAGGGGAGTGGGCATGGGGGCAGTCGGGGGGGGAGGTGGTGTCTGAGAGGCCGACGTAGGTCATGCCTGGTCCTGTAGTGCAGGGTGAGCAGCTTGGAACTGATTCTGGGGGTGACGGGAAGCTGTTGGAAGCTGTAAAGGAGAGGAGTGAGTAGGTCAGTTAACGTGTGGCCGCTTGGTCTTCCGACGGGAGAGCAGAAGCAGCGGTACCAGTGAAGAGGCCCAGGTGAGCGGGGATGGTGGCTTGGACCAGGATAGGAGCAGGTATTTGGGGAAGGGAGCACAGATGGAGAAGAGCCCTGAAGAGCCAGCCCTGGGGCATCTACCGTTCAGAGGCAGGAAAAAGAGGGGGCGACAACAAATACCCCCCCTTTTTTTTTTTTTTGCCATATGTGGGCCTCTCACTGTCGTGGCCTCTCCCGTTGCCGGACGCGCAAGCTCAGCGGCCATGGCTCACGGGCCCAGCCGCTCCGCGGCACGTGGGATCCTCCTGGACCGGGGCACGAACCCGTATCCCCCGCATCGGCAGGCGGCCTCCCAACCACTGCGCCACCAGGGAGGCCCTACCCCCCTTTTTTTTGGCCGCGTTGTGCAGCATGCAGGATCTTAGTTCCCCAAATAGGAATCGAACCCACACCCCCTGCAGTGGAAGTGCATAATCTTAACCACTGGACCACCAGGGAAGTTCCAACAAATACACCTTCTTGATTTGGCATCATTCATTCATTCATGGCATTCACTGACACCTTCACAGCTTATTGGAGGGGGTCACTGTGCACAGTTTTGGGGATACAGACATGAGTAGGATGTGAGGTCTGGAGACCAGGGGGCTTTAAGTAAGTTACTGCCGTCACATGGTGACAAGGCCTGTGGATGCAAGGCCCCCGGGGCAGCGGGGATGGGTGGGCAGCTACCTGGTGGACAGGGGACACTGCTCAGTGGCAGGGAGTCTTGAAAGGTCATTTTGAATCCATGAACCAGAACCTCCACCGCCGGTGCCCCTGCCCCCTGAGTTGTCCTGGAGCCACAGGCCTCAGCCTCGGTCGGGGGCTGCCCAGCTCCCTGGCTGCCCCTCGGGCCACCTGCAACGCCTGCTTTCTTGCTTTAGCTCCGGCAAACAGCTTTTTCTCTTTTTCCTCTTCCTCAGAGGCAGCTCGCATGCTTGCTTGATTAACTTGCTTGCTTGTTTGCTGGGGCGAGGATAAACCTTTCCAGGCTCTTAACCTGGGCTTTCAGACCCTTAACCTGATTTCCTTTCCAAATTCCCAATCCTTTGGGGGAAAAGGTTTGCACTGGTGTGAGGGTACCAGGGCCTCTGGTGTTTTGGGCCCCCAGTGAACATTCGGCGCCCGGTCCTCTGTCACTGCCCCAGCCAGAGCAGAAGGGAACTCCCTAGGATTTTTGGAATGAATTATGCTGGGAGGACAGAGAGGCCAGAAGCCCTAGCCCCCAACCCGTGGATGCCTCCCTAGGGCCAGCATCACCGTGGGTTTCCAGGAGTGAGGCCCGGGGAGCAGCGGTGAGGGGCTGGACCAGACAGCCTCTGCCCTCTGTCTCTCCTAATGGTCTGTCAGAAGGGGGAGTGGGAAGACGGTGAGGATGCACAATGTGAAAGCTTCCCTGCTTCACATCCCCCATTCGTGTCCCCCAAATCCGATAAGAATATCATCGTCTCTACTGACCATGGTTGAGGCACCCTCCCCGCAGGTTTTGCTGGAGGCCCAGTGGTCGAAATTTATCCTATTATGTATTTTTTGGTTTAGCAGGGGTTAGGCCTTATGTGTTTTTATGTATCTGTCCTGATAGGGGGGGAAAAAAAAAAAAGAAAAGAATGGCATGTCGTTAAACTCAACGTATTTTAATTTCTCTTTAAAGACATTTTTCTTGTCAAGTCATTCTTGAAAGAAAAAAAATTTTTTTTTAGACGGAAATGTCGCTGTTTCTGGTTGATTTAAAATGCCACCTACTAGCTCAGTCAGTAGAGCATGAGACTCTTAAAATGCCACTTGCTCAACTCTCTGAGTCTTGGCCAATCCACCGTGCCCAGCATGGCCCATCTCCCCCCCTTGATTCGGCTTAAATTTTCAGGCTGACAAACCCTTTTCAGCTCAGCTTGCCCATCTGACCAAGTGTGTTTCCTGAAGATGCCCGTATTTCTGTCTTTGGTGAAAGACACCATCACTCCCCAAATCTCAGCCAACTCCAGTCATTAATGGTGGTTGGACTCTAAAATTCTGTACCCCACCCTCTGCTGTTTGAAAATCAGAGAACCGTGTAAAAACCGTGTGTGTTCGGCTGCAACGTCAACTATAAATTAGCTTGGTTATCTTCTAGGACAAGTGCTATTTATTTTGGAGTAGTAGTAAAAAGGGCTCAAAGGATAAGGAGGCCATTCAGGCCTATTCTGAATCCCTGATGACATCAGCTCCCAAGGGGACTGTACTGCAAGAAGCAAGACTGTAGGTGGGTACCAGGTAACACCTCTCGCCCCCCATCCCCTCCCATAGTGAGTAGAACTCTGGCGGCTTGAAACGTTTGGGATCTCACACATCTCGCCCCCCATCCCCTCCCATAGTGAGTAGAATTCTGGCGGCTTGAAACGCTTGGGATCTCACACATCTCTTCAGCCTGAACTTCACCTGGAGTGTCTACAGATTGAAAATACGTATTTGTATATTTTGCTGTCTTCTTACGTTCCGAGTGATCCTAGGCGTGGCAGGCGATGGAGGGTGACTAGTGGGCTGGTGTCTTATTTGCAAGGTTGTCTTAGAAAGGCAGGATCGAGGTTTAGGTCTCAGCTGCTTCTCAAACCTCTGGTGCAATATAGACTCTTCTGGGAAAGTCTGCGAAAAAATGCAGATCCACGGGCATCCTTCTAGACCTCTTGGAATAGCATCATGGATGGGGCCCAGGAATCTGTATTTTAATGGCCCCCTAACAGGATTCTGATGTAGATAAGTTTAAATAAATCCGGATGACTGTGGCCAAGAAAAAGGAATTTAGGCATCACCTGGGCACCAGCTGTAGATCTAGGACTCAGTCTGAGGGTATGGTTGCCAGACTGAGCAAAAACAAACAAACAACCCCAAGAAACAACAACAACAAACAGATGCTCAGTTAAATGTGAATTTCAGGTAAACAGTGAATGATTTTTAGCCTAAGTGTGTCCCATGAAATTATCAGTATGTGCTTATACAGAAAAACTGTTTGTTGTTTACCTGAAATTCACATTTAACTGGCTACCCTCCTTCATCTGGCAGCCTACCTGCGGGAGACGGAGGCTAGTGCCTTTGGGGGTTCACCTCCTGGGCTGTGTTCCTTTAGGTCTGAGGTCTTAGGAGAGCCAAGTCCCGCCAGGGTATGTGACAGGCAGAGCTCTGGGCCCTACAGTTGGGGTTTGGGCAGGGGTGAGTCGCTCTATGCTTATACCTCTGATTATAGCTGTTATTTCGGTTTCTGAAAAATGTGCCACCCTCTCCAGCTTCTGGGGCTGGGCCTGCTCGCGTTTAAATAGCTTTCTTGAGAGCCACAGGCTGGGGATGAGGTGACAGCCCTACTCTTTGGGACCAGTTGGCTGCTTCCAGTTTGCTTGGATTGCCAGGGCTGGAGGAGGAGATAAAATAGAACATGGGCGCTGGGCGTGGGTGTGTTTGTTGGCAGGTACTGCCAGCCCTGCAAGGAGCGGGAGGGAGGGACCGCTGTGCCCCCAGCCAGGCTCTGGGGGCCTCCTACTGCCGATCTGGGGATAAGAGAGCCCGATCACGTCAGGGCTGGGTGTTAAGGGGGTGTCTTCCTGAGCTTGGGGGGCAGGGTGTCCTAGCTGGAGACGAGCCCCCCGTTGCCTTCCTCTCTCCCAGAATTCCTCTTGGGATGCCCTTCTTGTGTACAATTTGGCCCCATTGGCACCCCTGCCCCCTTGCAGCCACGATTCCCTTCTGCAGAAACTTGCTTGGCGTTCTCGTGGTGCAGGGGTGGGGTCTTCAGGCAGAGAGATGGGGGTTATTCGCGTTTAGCACAGATAGAGCTGGTGTTTGTGAGGTCTCAGCCCCATGGCTGCACCTCCCTGGACACAGCCAGGATGTCCTGCTCCCTGCCCCCCCACCAAAAATAAAAATAAAACAAAACCAAAGCTGGAGTCTCTTTGTGATTTTACCAACAGAATCCAAATGTCAAGTTATTAGGGAAGTTTTTGATTAAAGAGATGCTACTGCCCTGTCTTCTGGAAGGCAGGTCAGCCTTCGGCCCGGATGAGACCCCTATCCCCGGTCACGTGTACTTGGGGAAGGCAGTGTCCTGTCGGGTCTGCTTTAGGGGACCAGGCACCTGGGAAGCAGCCAGTGGTCCTGGAGACCTGGAATCCCTGCAGCTCGGCCTCCAGCCTGTGCTGAGTCCCTGGGGGAGGTCCTATACCTTGCCCCGCGTCTGGGCATGGGGATGGCCTTGAGGGGCTGCTTTGCTCCAGGAAAGGGAGGATTGTGTGAGTAAGAAAAGACAGCCCCTCTTTGCAGACATGCCTGCTTTAGGGCTGAGGGCTTGGCAAACAGAGTACACCCCGTTTATACCCACTTGGCCGGGTGCCCTTGTGCAGTGAACAGCCTGGACAATGGTACTGGTCAGCCCTTCAGGTACATGTTCCAGGATCTCTTTTGCTGTCTCATGAATCTTTCTCTCATTAATTCCAAGTCCTCATTCCTCAGTTAAACGGAAGTGTATTCCTTGAGGGTTTGTACATGTGTCTTTCTTGGGAAGGCAGTTTCCCCTTTGCACTTTTTTTTTTTTTTGCGGTACGCGGGCCTCTCACTCCTGTGGCCTCTCCCGTTGCGGAGCACAGGCTCCGGACGCGCAGGCTCAGCGGCCATGGCTCACGGGCCCAGCTGCTCCGCGGCATGTGGGATCTTCCCGGACCGGGGCACGCACTCGCGTCCCCTGCAACGGCAGGCGGACTCTCAACCACTGCGCCACCAAGGAAGCCCTCCCCTTTGCACTTTTGAGCGAGGCTTTCTCCAGTCGTGGCTCTCTGGGCCCACATCGCTAAGAATCCCCCACCCCCGACCCCGCTGTCCCATGCTGCCTCTGTGTCGGGGGGTGTGTCGGCAGGGGCGCAGGCCCACCCCTCTTTGCCCCTGGCTGGAATGTGGCTCGGTGCGGGGAAGCCTGAGCTCTGTCCCCGAGGAAAGGAGTCAGGAATCCCCCACCGCTCCCTACCCAGAGTGGGGTTTGATTTACCCCACCCCGCGGTGAAGCAGGCCCCTGGGGGTGGTGAGCAAAGGCCCAGGTGGGTAGGGGCGTCCGGGGTTTTCCGACCACAGCTGCTGGGCAAGGAAGCCTCTCCATTCTTCGAGGGGAAGGAAGACAGAGGGCTTGGGGGGATGAAAAGTTGCCCCCAATTCTTATCATCATGGCTACCTTTAAAATTTTCCTTAAATTGAGAAACTTACAAACGTAAAACTAGATGAATTGCATGCTCTGAGTTCCCTCTCACCCAGACTCAACAACCCTGTTAACATTTTGTCGTATTTCACCTTTTCCCTGTGTGTCCTTTGCCCCCCTCGCCAAGTCTCACTGCCCCTCCCCCTCTCCCCAGAGACGCCAGGAATCGCCAGGAATTTGGTGTTTGCATGTTTCTTCCCTTCTAAACCTGTATATATGTATCCATGAATGACAGGTAATTTTTAAGAAGCTTACCTCCGTGGTGTCAAACTATATGAATCACTCCGCAGCTGGATTTCCCCTCTTCAGTTTTTCTGTGTGACAACTGTATAGGTTGACTATGATCTTGTGACTCTGCCTTTTAAATGCATTCTGATATCAGTGGACATTTAGGTGGTTTCTAGCTTTTCTGTGTTAACAGTATTGCTTATATAAGCCCTGGACTCCTTGCTCTGCCCTTCTCACTGTATTAGGCAAGTCTCTTAGGGTCTCAGTTTCCCCATCTCTAAGATGGGTGAGAGCAGGACAAGATGGTGTTTCGTGAGATTAGGAGACCCTTTGTAGTGGAGTCCCAGGAGTCTGTAGGTCACTCCAGTCTTCTCTCATCTCGAGCTTGATGGGGCGGGCTGCAGATGGGGGCTCCAAGGGGGGTTTCCATGCTGGTGGAGGATGTACAGGGGCGGGTCCGGGGTCCGGGCGGGGCTTGGTGGGCGGGGCTTAGTGATGCAGCACCTCCCCTTTTCTCCACAGGGTCCCAAAGATGCCGCCAGCCAGCCCAGCCTGGCTACTCAGCAAGACCAGCTCTCCAGCCCCTACACCCCGCTTCTTCAGGACTCTCTCAGGGGACAGCCCACTAATCCCAAAGTCTGAGCCACCCCCTGCTACCACATGCCTGTCGCACACTGCACACACCCCCAGCACGTGTCCACGTGTGTGCACAGGTGTGTGCAGACAGGGATGGAGCCGCTGCTGAGGGGACTTGGGGAGAGGCTCGTCAACAAGGACTGTTCCGGAACCTTCTCTCCAAGTGATCCACAGGCCCGACCACTGGTGGTGTGGGCACGGGGTCCCCTCCCTTGGGTGAGCGAGCCTGGGCTCTTAAGGACTCAGGTCACCTCTCCCCAGCGGTCCTCTCCATCAGTCTCGAAACACTGCAGCCTCCGCCTGGTGGCTCACCCAGGCAGGACAGGGACTTTACTCCGAGGGGCTGGCCGCTGTCCCGAAACCTAGCCCAGGAGTGCAGACTGCTTGTGCCCCATCCAGGTGGGCCGTGGGCCGTGGGCCGTGGCTCAGCGCCCAGCCCGGACCCGGAGCTGTGGCCACTGGACACCCATCTGGGCCTCAAAACGGAGATGCCTCCGACCCCATCCTTAACCCCCTGCAGGATCGTGATCTCCCTGAAGTCTACACAGGCGCTGGATTTGGGTGTCTGCGCCCCTTCCCTCCAGCCTAAACTGACATGTATACTGAGCCGGCCACTCCCTGGCTGGGGTGGCAGGAGGCTGTGCTCTGAGCCGCCGCCCACCAGGGTCCTCAGCTCTTCGGTGCCAGGGAGGAGGTGGAGAGGCCCTGGGCCCATCAGCCTGGGTGTCTGGTTGGGTGACCCGTCTGCCCGGGGCTCCTGGTCTCCGGGGCAAACTTCTGTCTCTTTTCTACTGGAAGAGAAATGAATTTTATCATCTTTTAAAAATAATTCACAGTTGAAATAATAAACCTTTTTAAAAAGTGACTGATTGAGTGTGTGACAGCCTGTTTGAGGGGGGCTGGTAGGCCCCCTGGGAAGTTCTGGGCTCTTATTTTCTTAGCCAGTAGCTCCCTCCTGGTTACTGCCATGAGTGTCTCTCAGGGACTGGGCTGCAGACTTGCCTTTTCCTTGTTTTAAAATTTACTTATTTATTTATTTACTTATTTATTTTTGGCTGCGTTGGGTCTTCGTTGCTATGTGCGGGCTTTCTCTAGATGTGGTGAGCGGGGGCTACTCTTCGTTGTGGTGCGTGGACTTCTCATTGCGGTGGCTTCTCTTGTTGCGGAGCACAGGCTCTAGGTGCGCGGGCTTCAGTAGTTGTGGCTCGTGGGCTCTAGAGCGCGGGCTCAGTAGTTGTGGCGCATGGGCTTAGTTACTCCGCGACATGTGGGATCTTCCTGGACCAGGGATCGAACCCGTGTCCCCTGCATTGGCAGGCGGATTCTTAACCACTGCGCCACCAGGGAAGTCCCTAAAATTTAAACTTGTGTATATTTAACATTTTATGTAAATTCTGTGTGAATTCAGTTCTTGTTTAGAAAGCATAGCATCCACGTGGACCACTACCCCGACCCCCCTTTTGATTGTTGAGTAGAATTCCATCGTAGGCACATACCACAGGTTTCCAAGCATTCATGAGTTGAAGGACATTTCAAATGTTTCCAGTTTTTGACGATTATGAATATAAAGCTGCTACAAACATGAATGTACAGGTTTTTCTATGAACATATATTTTCTTTTCTTTTGCTTTTTCTTTTTGCTTTGCTTGTGGGATCTTAGTTCCCTGACCAGGGATCGATCGAATGCGGGCCGACGGCAGCAAAAGTGCCGAATCTTAACCACTGGACCGCCAGGGAATTCCCAATTTTCATTTCTCTTAAGTAAAATACCTAGGAGTGAGAGTGCTAAGTCTTATGGTAACATGTGATATAGGTCTGTGTTTAACAATATTCACAGTAGCTGCACCATTCTGCATTCCCACCATCAAGGTATGATCGTTTCACCTGCTCTGCATACAGGCGGATACCTTGGCACTTCCAGTTTATAAAAAACTGTCCTCATTTGTAGTGGTATCACATTGTTTTTTATTTGCATGGAAATACATCTCCTAATGAGATGGCGATTTCCTCTTCACCCCCAACTAATTTATGTATCTATGAATGACTGTTACTGCCAGGATGCGACCAATTTTGTCATCAATTCTATTCTTATTTTGTATAAGTGCAGAGAAGCCTTGTTTACATAAGTACATAGCTGGCAGTGGAAGGAATATCCTGATAGAGTCACTCAATTCTTAATACTGCTGAGTAATGGGCAAAAATCAGGTGACAATCTGTCATCAAAAAGTATTTTTACTGATTTATCAGCTGACGCGTCCATCTGACCTTTCTTCACATTTGTCGAAGGCAGCAAAGTGGAAACCACGGACTTGCAAAAGAACTGCAAAAAGATTACTCAATCTTTAGGTCAGTTCTCGAAACCAGTGTTTGGGAGTGTCCCTCAGGTCGGGGTTGGAGGGCTGGGGAGAGCTGCGCCTGCCTGCTGCGGGGTCGGGGGCCTGGGGAAGGGCGCCTGCCGCCTGGCCCTGATCCCGGGGAGACCCAAAGGTGAAAAGCGTTCCCCAGCTTGAGTCTGATGACCACTGAGAGGATTGTTGACTTCCCTGCGTCCAAGCCGCATCACAGACACCTGCAACTTTTGCATTCAGCCCTGCCTGCTCATAAAGAGAAAAAAGAGGCAATCTCCATAAAGCATTCTGGTGTGTGTGTGTGTGTGTGTGTGTGTGTGTGTGTGTGTGTGTGTGTCCCAAGGGAACATGGGACGGAAGAGGTGAATTTACCTCATTGTCTCAGTGTGTGAACATCTTGCTTGTGAACACCTTGGTAAGGTTCAAGCTGATTTGTGTTTTTTTTTTTTGGTACAACTGTGGTCCCTAAACCCAGCCAATGACTTCATCCAGGGCTCAGAGGGAAACTGCCCTCTGGTCCCACACGGGAAGGACGGGCTGTGAGGCCACCTTAAGGGACATGGCATCAGGCCTTCTCGTGGCCTCAGGAATTCTCAGGGGTGTCTTTGACCCTGAGGCTTGATTCCTACCCTCTCACTTTACACCGCAACCCCACCCACTATGTGACTCTGCTAACAATATATATTTTTTCAATTTGAGCCACTTTTTTACTTAAATTTTCTTTTAAAAGAAAATTTTTCTGTAAAAAGTTTGTTTCTTTTGAAAAAGTAGTTTTATCTGAACTTGTGGGTCCAACAGGCAAGTTATATTTTTCTAGTATCCATGAAAATAAATACTTAACTATGTGGAATCTAAAAAATGAAACAAACTAGTGGGACTTCCCTGGTGGTCCAATGGTTAAGGCTCCCCACTCCCAATGCAGGGAGCCTGGGTTCGATCCCTGGTCAGGGGACTACATCCTGCATGCCACAACTAAGAGCCCGCATGCTGCAACTAAGACCCGGTGCAGCCAAATAAGTAAATAAATATTAAAAAAAAACACAACCCACTAGTGAATATAACAAAAAAGAAACAGACTCACAGATGTAGAGGACAAACTAGTGGTTACCAGTGGAGAGAGGGGAGGGTGGAGGGGCACGATAGGGATAGGAAAAATTATTATTATGGAATTATATGAAATCATGTGTGTGAAACTTTTGAAAATTGTAAAACACTATATACAAATTACTATGTATAAAAAAATTAGCTATAAGGATATACTATACAGCACAGGGAATACAGCCAATATTTTACAACAACTATAAATGGAGTATATAACCTTTAAAAATTGTGAACCACTATGTCGCACATCTGAAACTTACATAATATTGTACATCCTTTATCTCAATTAAAAAAGAAAAAATAGGGCTTCCCTGGTGGCGCAGTGGTTGAGAGTCCGCCTGCCGATGCAGGGGACACGGGTTCCTGCCCCGGTCCGGGAAGATCCCACATGCCGCGGAGCGGCTGGGCCCGTGAGCCATGGCCGCTGAGCCTGCGCGTCCGGAGCCTGTGCTCCACACCGGGAGAGGCCACAACAGAGGCCCGCGTATCGCTAAAAAAAAAAAAGAAAAAAAAAAAGAGGACATATTTTAAAAAATACATAACTGTTAAAGCTTAAAGATGTTCCTCCAGGTGCTACCAGACCTGCCCTATTTGAGAACACTTCACTGTGCCCATCGTGTCCTGCACTCCCTCATCTTTCCACTCTGCCTGTGGAATGTGTGGAAGGCTCCCCTCCTCTGTCTGGCTCAGTCCTGGCCATCATCAAAGACTCAATTCCAACCATTACCCCTCCTCCAGGAAGCCTCCCTGGTCACTTCTGCTCACTCAGCTCTCCCCCGTCTTGGAATTCCTGGGTTGCTGCGTCTGTACCCTAGATGATACTAGGATGTTCTAGAATACTACAAGTCTTAGCTCCAGTTGCTGGAGCCCCTAAGGCCCTAAGGCCTGTAATGTAATCCCTGGTACCTGCAATTGCACGGGAAACTGGAAAATTGCTTAACCAAGATGTTTACTCTCTATTCCTTCGCTAACTCAGATGGTCACTTTTTCCACCAGTATTTATCGAGTGCTCGCTATGCACTGTGACTAAAGTTACTAGGGTGGCTTTTCTCGTCTGAAAAAAAAGGGGGGGGGCGGATAATCTAATACCTGCCTGGCAGGGTCAGTGTGGCATTCAAAAGAGTTGGCGGCCCCGCGTGATGGGGTCAGCACTGGGGACCCTGCATTCAAACCAACTGTTCCAGAGCTGTCCTGATTGAGCCCACTTGGCTCCCACAAGTGTCCTGTGCGGTCAGTTCTCCAAGCAGCGGCCTGAGAGGTCTTCCTGAAATGTAAACTATCAGCAGGTTCGTCCCTTGTTTAAATCCTTGTGCGGCTTTCCCGCACCTGGAGGATCAAGTTCCTTTCTCGAGGGCTGCTGGGAAAATCCTTCCCGGTTTCTGGCTGCGATTCTGGGCTTCTGGGCAATTCCCGGAAATTCCGGGCTCGGCCACTGGAGGGCGAGCTGCGCACACAGGTTGTTCAGAGGTCCGCGTTCTCAGAGGTGCTGAGATCACCTCTTACATTCCTTAAATTGTGGGGTGTTACCTGGGGTCACAGTCTGGCTTCAGGAAATTGCAACCTCCAGAAATTTCATTTTATGCCTATGTCTGAGCTTTTTTTTTTTTTTTTTTCTGGGAAGCGTTTTCTTAATATTCTTCAGATTTTCAAAGGGACCTTGACGCTCTCCAAGGGTCCCATGGGCAAGAGTGATACTCCTAAAATAAAACCAGGGTCATGGGATATTCGCGCTTCCTTAGCATGTAAAGGAAAGGGCTCTGGCCTTGGAGGCAGGCTACCTGCATGCTAATCCAGTTGTGCCAGCGGCTGGGCAGCCTTGCAGCAATCTGTAACCTCTCTGAGCCTCGGGTTTCCCACCCATGAGAGTGAAGATCGCTGCTCTGTGAATCCCCAAGAAGCCTTGTGAGGGTGGAATAGAAATGGCTGTGTGAGCATTCTCTACGGGGTCCAGGACGGTTGTGAAAGATCTCAGATGCTGAGCCTCCAGCAAGCATGTATTAGATACCTACTGGGTGCTAAGCACTGGCTGGGCACTGAGAGGGAGTCAAACTCAGAGGGCTGTGTAGATGCATCCATCCATCCACCCATCCATCCACCCGTCCATCCATCCATCCATCCATCCATCCATCCATCCATTCAACAAATGTTTTCTGGGTGCCCACTATGTGTCAGATTCTCGAGTATATATTGGGAGTTGTCTTGGGTTGGCGATGCTGACACATAGATTCCTGGACAAAGGCTGTCCCAGGAGGGCAAACGGCTCCAGCAGCCAGAGAGGGCAGTTTTCCGAGGAAGACCAGCAGGTACTGGGTTTTGAATGCGAAAGTATCCGGAAACCAGGGGGACTCAGAAACAGTCAAAAGGTGTCTGTTTGGATTTGTTAGAGCACCAGTGTTACCTGCCTCAGAAGTG